GGCGTTATTGGCCCAGTGCTATCCACGCTGCCCCGGCGGATAGTGCTGGACCAACGCATGCTACGGAAGAGGCGGGCAGACCTGTGGCGACAACTCCCATGACAATGTCAGCACTGACAGCGTGACAGTTACGAAACGGTCAGCTTTCGTAACTGTCACGTCAGCTGACCGTTTCGTAACTTGACAGTTACGAAACGGTCAGCAGCATCCTCACAGCACTGATCTGTGCTGACAGTGTCAGCCACAGGTCAGTCTGGACTTCGGTGCGAGAGACACTATCCAACAACGTCAGCCAGGGGAGTGGTCGACACATGTCTGTCCGCCTCTCCCGTATCATGAGCTGGTCTAGCACTTTCCACCGGGTGGGACAAGGGGCGCGACCTTGCACCGCTGGGATGCAAGGTCGTGCGATGGACCGATGCCCGCGGTAGCACTGCGAGGAAATCAAGGGCGCAGACAACAATAACGGAGCGGTGCAAAGCCACGGGTGGCTCAGCCGGCTTGCACGACCCACCGATGAGCGGCAGCAGCTGGAGCGCGCTCTCGGCGGCACCGGTGGCGATCAGCAGCTGCAGCAGCATGTAGAGCGCGGCCGGATGGCCGGGCTGCAGCAGCAGCGCCCGCCGCAGCGCCGCCTCGGCCGCCGCCAGCTCGCCGCGGTCGCGCAGGCAGCGCGACACGTTGCGCAGTAGGCGGCCGGCCGCGTCAGACTCTGGGGATGGCTGCCGGTGGTGAGCAGCGGCGAGGGGACCCCGGGACGAGAGCCGTAACGGGCTGGAGTTGAACGGTGTCGCGGTTCACGTCAGTCACCCTCCACGCGACGTTACGGCGCACGCCCCTTAAGAGGTGACTTAAGGTCTCATGGTACACGAGGGTCCACGAGCTGCCTAGTGCCAGAAGTCACGTGGGTCAGAATAGAATGCTACACGTGTCCACCACCGGCAGGAAGACAGGCCTGACAAAACATGAGCAGCGCTAGCTCGACAAGTACGGGCCGCCTGACTGACGGGAGGCTGAACGGTGTCGCCCCGCGGTCGTGCTGTTACCGAGTCCGTGTAGGTCGGCCGAGCCGCAGCAGCAGCTGCTCGGCTGGCTCCGACTGGCCGGCCTGCAGCAGTGTCGCGGCGCGGCCCCTCCAGCGCCGCCACCAGGACCCGCCAGCAGCCGGCCGTCTGCGAATGTCGGCCGCCCTCACTGATGGAGACACGCGAGTTTGGCGACGGGCATGGCGCAGAACAGATGTCATGGGACCGGCTACCGTTCACTGGACCACTACCGGCTACCATCACTGGACCACTACCGGCTGCCGTCACTGGACCACTACCGGCTACCGTCACTGGACCACCACAGGCTACCGTCACTGGACCACTACCGGCTGCCGGCACTGGACCACTACCGGCTGCCGGCACTGGACCACCACAGGCTACCGTCACTGGACCACTACCGGCTACCGTCACTGGACCACTACCGGCTACCGTCACTGTGCCCACCACAGGCTCTCGTCACTGGACCACTACCGGCTACCGTCCACTGGACCACTACCGGCTACCGTCATCGGACCACTATACGGCTACCGTCACCGGATCACCACGGGCTACCGTCACTGGATCACTAACGGCCTCGTCACAGGATTACCGCTGTCCAGTCACTGGACCACTGCTGTCCACGGTCACTGGACCACCACTGGCCGCAGTCACTGCACCACCACTGGCCGCAGGCACTATACCACCAATGGCTGCAGGCACTATACCACCACTTGGCTGCAGGCACTGGACCACCACTGGCTGCAGGCACTGGACCACCGCTGGTCGCCGCCAGGCAACAGTCACTCGAAACGTCGTCAGTCGCCGCCACGCACGACCCGCTTGACGTCATTCGGCCGCCGTCTGGGGCGGTCGGCCGCCGGCACCATCCGCATTGCCGACCACTGTCAGTACATCCGCACAAGTAGAATGTCGGACGTCTGGACGGCTGGGTAATACCACGTAATGTGGCAGCTTACAATGTCACCGGCAGCGCAAACGTGAAAGGCTGGAATTGACGCCGAAATTTACAAAGACATGCTGCGGGAGCCATCCTGCAACCAATTGCTACACATCAAAATCCGCCTCCAGTTAGCATCGCGCCCTCTTCCTTTAGCATCGAAGTCGGCTGACCTCTGTCCGTTTCCTGCACTTCAGTCGCTCCTTTGTGGGCACCGCAGTTGGCTGACCGCTCTGATCGTCCCGTCTCTCAGTCGCTCCCCTGTGGGCCCCGCGGCTGGCTGACCGCTCTGATCGTCCCGTCCTTAGTCGCTTCCCTGTGGGTCCCGCAGCTGGCTGACCGCTCTGATCGTCCCGTCCCTTAGTCGCTCCCCTGTGGGCCCCGCAGTCAGCTGACTGTTCTGGTCGTCCCGTCCCTCAGTCGCTCCCCTGTGGGCCCGGCGCGCGCATTAGCTGCTTACCTCTGAGCCCGTCCGGCTGGGCGCAAGAGTACTGGGCGAGGCAGCGCAGAGCCTCCTCGGGGCGCTCCAGCCGCAGCAGCAGGTGGACCACTGCGCGGCAGACGGCGCCGCTGCCGCCGCGCTGCTCGGCCCGCCCGGACGCAGCACACTCAGCGCCTCCTCGGGCCGCCCGTGCCGGCACAGCAGGTCCGACAGCTGGGGGACAGAGACGCCTCCCTAAGTGGTGGGCTCAAACGGCACTACCCCGGCGGCATGCCGCAGTGAAGGATCACGGTGTTGCCATCGCACATGATTACGTGGTGCCCATTTTCCCCTTTTATCAACGAAAGCCTCTTCACATGGTCAGTGACGCGATCCAGAGGGAAAGCCGACCACAGCGTTTCTCTCCGTGGACTTCCGCATCAACTGAAGCCCATTGGTGGCGCCGCAGCGGGTCGCACAGATCCACCGCGGCGAAGACTGCGCGCGAGAGCAGCGGCAGCGGGGCCGCCCGTTCGGACGGCACGGCGCCGGGCAGCGACCCTGACCCGGACGAAGTCGGCCTGCTCCTGACACCAGTCAGTGGCGTCCTGGACACAGTGCTGCAGCGGCTGGGTCGGGTCGTCGGCACGCACCCCGCGGCGCAGCTCGCACGGTCAGGATCAGCAGGCGCAGCGTCAGGCTGGCACCCTCTGCAATCACACAGCGGGTGTACCGAGCGTACTCGACTGACGCTGGCAAATCACTGGAGGATCTTTGGGGGCAGTGCTGCGAATCGCAAGGTATATCGTGGTAATACTGGTTATTGGAATTATTTGCAATTGGAACAAATCTTCTTTGCGGTTTGACAGCCTCAACGCATGCCAGCATATGTAGTATAGATATAAGCCAATTTGCTGATTGGAAGTGCCACGAGGTCGCTTCAAGTCTTTGAGGGATTCGGAGATATCAAGAGATGAGCTTGCAGTTATCGGGCGGCTGATGTGATCGGGCTGACGGGCCTGACCTGAGAAGGCCAGCTGGAGCAGCTGCCTGGCCCGGTCCAGGTCGCCGTCCTCGCCTCGCATCATGTGGCACCGGGCCAGCAGCTCGAGCGTGCGGGCCCGCAGGTCAGCTGGGCACTGCGCACGGAGCAGACCTTGCCCTGCGACAAGGGTGGGGGGGGGGGGGTAGCGCCAGCCGGTCACGGAGGGGGCGGGGGTAGTCTCACAGGCGCTGGGGTCGGCTCAGCGTCGCATCGGGTGAAGGACAAGACGCTTGGCGTTTTGATCGATGAATCGTGACGGGTTTGGGCTGCATGTCCCTGTTGGTTATTCCACTGTCCCCTTTTGTCTCTGTCGTAGTGGACACCACGAACACTACACATTGACTGTAGGGTCACGTTAGCATAATGATTTGCATGGGAAGGACACCAGACATGCGCGGTTGGATATAAAGCCACATATCAAACGAGCGGGGTCGGCTGGCAAACCGTCGCCATTTCACTGCTTTATGAGATGCACGTCGACTGCGCATCGAAGACGCTTCAGGGTTCCAAATTAATCATCATATGACGAGCGTTCCAACACACAAACATGTCAAGTCGGGCGGCCCCTGAAACGACTCCAACCTATTTCCAGGCTCCGGCTGAGCCAGTGAACGGCCTGCGTCCAGCCGCGCCCCTTGTACCGCTGTAGTCCGAAATTGAAGAGCAGCAGCTGCATGTACTGCAGCTGCTCGGCGCTGGCGTCGCGCGCTCCACCCGCCTCTCGGGCGGCCTCGTCTGCTCCAGACCAATCCTCGGCCAGGAACAGCGCCTCGGCGCGCACCATCAGACAGCCGAAGCGGGCCTGCTCGAGAGCCGCCAGCTGCCGCAGCGTGTCGGCGCGCCGCGAGAAACGTCGCCAGCTGGCTCTCGGCGGCGGTGCGGCGCGCCAGCAGGTCGCGCTGCGGCCAGCTCGAGCAGCACCAGCGCACGCGGCAGCTCGCCGGCGGCGACCCGCTGCCGGGCGGCCGTCAGCAGCACCTGAGTAACGCCCGTCCAGCGGAAGCGGGCACCGTCAGCAGCAGCAGCACGTCGGCGGCCAGCTGTCGGCTGAGCCGGGCCGTCAGCTCGGCCAGCGGCTGATGCAGCGGCAGGTTCCAGAGTCGGCAGACGAGCTGCTGCGCTAGACAAGTGCTGTCAGGCTCGTGCGGTATGGAGAGCACCGGTCGCAGGTGGTCGGCCAGGCGAGTCAGCAAGTCAGTGTAGTCGTCGTCCGGGCCAGGGTCATCGCATGCTGCCAGCTCGCCCACGCATCGCTGCAGGGGCCGGCAGCACGAGAGACTCGCGATCTTCCTCCATGACAAACCTCTGGCTGGCAATAGGCGTAATAATGAATCAATGTTACAAATTCCTCAGAAACCGAACGTCACAGTACTGAATGGGATCAAGGAACACTTTGGAATGGGACCCGATTTCAACAGATCGCGTCGACCGACTGCGAACCGCGCGGCAACCAGAGCCTGACAGGCAGTCCGCGCACCCTTGGGAGTTTGTTTTGTTTTGTTTGGGTTCGGTAGTTCGCCGCAGCTGCGCCTGTTTCATCACCTTCGATTGCATGTATACAGCTGTCTTGTGCACTGGCTGCAAGCCCGTGGAGTGAAACTGCAGGAAAATTGTGGTTCGGAAAGCTGTTTCGGGTTGTAAAGCGCATCACCATATTTGGATGTGAATGCTTGTTTGGGTGCACACTTATTGCACATGCTGGAGTATCCCAATTATCTTCTGAGTTTGTTCTTTTAAGGTGTTCGGTGGTCTAAACGCTGGTTTTGCCTTTGTAAATTGGGATGAATTTAATGCTGTTGGATATGCTGTGAACGGTAGATGAGATATGTGAATTTCTTGCCCTTTTCTGGTTATTCTGTTCCTCTTCTTGTGGTGTGGCTGACATGTAGTGAGTGTCAGGCAGCCAGAATGTTGCCTGGTTGTCAGAGTTGTGAGGGCACTGCTAGTACCCAGGCTGCAATACATGAATGCCTTGGTTTTTCCCAGTTGGCCATATCTTCAAGTGATAATTTATAGTTATTGTTGCAAGTCCATAGACTTCAAGTCTCTGAATTCAATGACAATATTGATAACTCCTGAAAAGGATCATTGAGGAGATTGAGCCTACCAGCATGTTACCTTTGAGTGAACTGTGGGGTGCTGAGGCAAACTTATTTCTGTGTTGTTTTGTTGCCAAGAGTATGCTTTTTAATCTGTACTTTGTGCATAGTTTGCCCTTAACATGTGCTCAATAGGAAGGCAGGCCAGTGGTATACCACTTGGTACCTTGGTGGTCCTACTGCATGGTGGGTGGTACCTGCATGCATAGTGGGAGTGGATGATCAGAGGTTCCAGGTGTTTGAGAGCTATGTGCATTGAGATATTTTGTAGAACTCAGCTTTCTTGCTCATTCAGGAAAAGTATAAAAAAATTGGAATTGTGATCTAACCTCTGTCTGAGCTTTCCTGGTGTTTCCAGGGTAGGGAGCCGTCGAACAGCCGAGCTCTAATGGAGGTCTGCACCCCACAAGGTGTTGCAACCAGTTTCCCACTAAAAGATAATGTTTCCCTTCAGATCTTTCAAACATGCTTCCAACATGAACATTTGGTGGCCATCATGCAGCTTGAGCACATTGGCAATACTTCTTTCATTGTGCCTCTCACATGCCCAAAACACTGAAGAGGCATGCCCTTTGACATCTGGAGAGGAGTGCATTGTCAATTTGCATGGAAAGTCGGGGGATGGATACTACACAGAAATCATCATCGGAACACCACCACAGAAGGTAACAAATATTAGTCATGTGTTGGTCTTTGCAGTTGACAAGTTTGATCATTCTTTTAGATGAACACAGTCTTGAACACAATATGCACCTGAGGTTTGGCATGCATATCTCTCACTTAACCACAAGCTTTGTGTGCAGGTGTGCTTTCTTGAAATGAAAAGTCTGACCATGAGCCAGTATTGTTGAGCTAGCTGTGCTCAGTTTGTCTAGAGTGAATATGTTGTGACATGCCATTTGCCATTTCAGCTGAAGGCACTTATTGACACTGGGAGCAGTAATGTGGCCATTGCTGCATTGCCACATCCCCAGATCTCCAAATTCTTCAACCAAACCATGTAAGTTTGTCCGTGATTGAATACATGCCACAGCAACAGTCTGACACCACACTGTAGAGGGCTGTGGAGTGTTCATGAGGGTAGTGGGACAATCATGCTCTTACTTCAAAGCTCCTTGTTTATGGCAGGTTCAAGGCTTTTATGCTTGATTGTGCATTAGAGCTAGACAGAGCATGAATATGAACTGCCAGCAAATGATGCACCTCCTGAGCTGCCCATTGCTGCAGACCGGCGCGCGCTAGCGGCCACAGCACGTGTCCATTTCCGCCCGTCTGCCCACCCGCCCTGCGTCCCTGCAGCGCCGTCCTCTGCCGCAGATCGGGCACGCTGCGGCCACAGCACGTGTCCATGATCGCCCGCCCGTCTGCCCACCCGCCCTGCGTGCCTCCAGCGCCGCCCTCTGCCGCAGATCGAGCACGCTGCGGCCGCTGCACGCGTCCGTGATCGCCCCCCGTCCCCCTACGTCCCTGCGTCCCTCCAGCGCCGCCCTCTGCCGCAGATCAAGCACGCTGCGGCCGCTGCACGCGTCCATGATCGCCCGCTCACCCGCCCTGCGTCCCTCCAGCGCCGCCCTCTGCCGCAGATCGGGCACGCTGCGGCCGCTACACGTGTCCGTGTCCGCCCGTCTGCCCACCCGCCCTGCGTCCCTCCAGCGCCGCCCTCTGCCGCAGATCGAGCACGCTGCGGCCGCTGCACGTGTCCGTGGACGTGCCGTATTCGCAAGGCTCGTGGCGGGGCTGCCTGGTCAGCGACGTGGTCCGCCTGCCGGAGACGAACGCGCCGACGGTACGCTGCGACGTGGCGCTCATCAAACACTCACAAAACTTCTACATCAACGGCTCCGAGTGGCAGGTGCGCGACCGCTAACGGCCCCAGCCAGGCTTCTGGCCGGACTGGTTCCCGGGGAGGGTTGCTGAGGCAGCGGCCATATGTAAGAGCTGGTCTGGCAGGCTGATGTTTTTTTCGAGGTGACCTCAAAACACTGATCTCCTGTCCGGTGTTACTTCTGACTGTTTCGTTGCACGTATATTGTACGACTGCTGACATGACAATTGTGCGTGCCTCCACAGCTGTCAATCTAGCGTGTTAGTTTTTTTTTCTCAATGAGGTTTGCTATGTGTTGATCAGTAGCGTTCCAATATCCGAGTAGGCTGGCCGCCCAAAGCGTAACCTGATCACCCCGCTCTATCCGTCATCCTCGCCTCTTCACGTCATCACCTGGCCGCAGGGCATCGTGGGTCTGGCGTTCAAGCCGATCTCGCGCTGCCCACTCGTCGGTGGCGACGTGGCTGGACGCGGCGCAGCACGTGCGGCTGGGCCAGCTGGGCTCCGTCTCGGTGGCGCTCTGCGGCCCCGGCCCCACCGTCGACACCACGGCTACATGGAGTTCGGTGAGGCCGCCGGTGCACGGCACGAGGAGCCGCCCGTGGGGGGTGGCGCCGAGGGAGTTCCGCAGGCGGTTGTGGGAAGTGGAACGAATCGCGTTTAGTTTTGCCGAGTCCAGCAGCGGTGCAAAACAAAGGGAGGGGGTGCGGGTTAGCGGTACGTTGAAAATGTCGATGCTCGGTGTTAATAGCAAGCCAAGGTTAGCACTTCATGATGATCGGTGATTGGGTAGGTTGAGGCTCGTCGATTTTTTTCTATAATTTGAATGACATTTTGATAGGCAGCTGAGTGGTGGTTGTTTGGCATGCGAGGTGCGTTGTCTGCGTTTAATAGACCGTTGTGTTGCAGCTGCACTTCTCAGCGTAAAATATGTGGTTCTTATTATGCCCGCGACATCTATCTCCGCGTTGCTGAACTGTTGGTTGCTGTGTTCCGGCCGTCCTCTCTAAAGCTTGCTTATGACCTGAATTAAGCCATGCTTTGCCTTCTTGTGTGTGGCTGCAGCAGTCTCAGTTAAGGGGTTTGTGTCATAGTCCGTCGTGCTGACGCCCAGCTGGCCCGCGTTAGTTGGAAGGTATGAATAGAGCGTAGTGTTAATCAGAAATCGCACCCAAACTGAAGGATTCGACACAATGCGTGCTGTTGTTTCCTCTATAAATGCTCGGTCGGAGAAGACTACTTTCAACGGCTCACACGCTGATGAGATTGAGACCTGAGCCGACCTTGCCTGACTTAACTCAGGTAACGGTTATAATTCTTTCCTGAGTAGGCCATCGATGATTATCGGCGGGATCTTCCCCTGCTGATGAGTCCAGGTGAGCCTGCGCGCCACCCTGGACCTGACCCAACCCTCGTCGTGTGTGACCTCGCTCCGTGCTGCGGAGCCAGGCGAGACGCGGCGGGCCCTGCTGGCCAGCCGCTTCCCACTCGGCCGCCATCTTCCGGTCGTGGTTCTACGAGATCCTCATCACCAACATGACGGTAGCCGGCCGCGGCTAGCGCTGCCCTGCGTCGAGTTGAACACGGACAAGACCATCGTCGACACCGCACCACTACCTGCGGCTGCCAGAGAGGGTAGGATGCTATTTGTGAAGTGGGGCGATGGGTGTGGGGCGAAGTAGCGACGGCCATTGTAGGCAAAGCACGTTGTTTGAGTGTATCGCCAACTTTCCGGTTGTGAGATATTTGTATGACTAGGAGACTAATGGGTTGACCCGGCTAATGGGGCCGTATTAAAACAAACAGGGCCGTTAATGTTCTGCCCATGATTGGCTTTGGGGAGAAGTGCATCGCCGAGTTTACTTGGGGGGGACAATTTTCAAGTTAATGCCTCGCTCCGATTCAACGAAACGTCGTCAGTGGCAGAACTCGCAACTGACCGGTCGCTGTTGCAGGTGTTCAGTGAAGTCATAGCAGTGGTGCAAGAGCAGGCCGCCTTCCTAGCAGACAGGTCCATACGTTCTGGACGGGCAAAGGCGATTATGCTTCCCGACCGTGAACGCCACCCACCCGTGGGACTACTTCCCGAACATCACGCTCTCGCTGCAGACCAACAAGACGGCTTCGTTCGACCTCACCGTCCACGTCGCGGGTGCGCTGAGACCGCCGCATGAGCGGCCGACCGGGGCTCGACTCGGAGCGCTGCAGCTGGCGCCGATGCCGCCCGCAGAGTGCGACTGGCGAATCTGGAAATTGCTGTCGTTTTCCTGGAAATAGGCATTTGCATGGTTTGAGACGGATGTCAAGGAGTTCGATTCTCTTGAGGCATGCGCCGTCCTTCCTTCGTTAGTTCCAGACCTCCGATAATGTCATCCAGCGTCCTGTAATGAGTGTGCCCAGTCAAGAGAGCCAGCCTGGAAACGGTTGTAAGGTATCTGACTTTGTTCTAAGCTAATTAAAACCCGCTTTGCTACGGGAGGTTAACGAGCGGGCCCGATATTCGCCGACAGAGGTACCCATTTCCGACGAGACCAAATCACGCGCTCGAGCTCGCGCCACAACGTGATCCCCGCGGGCATGCCCGACCTGTTCCCATCAACCACTATGTCTCATTCAAGGCTACCTGAGGGACGCCCTTTGGCTAAAAGACTCCCGACTGAGTGATCCGTTTGAGACCGGCCCGGCATGCATCAGCTGAGCTCGTGGCTCCCCGGGGCGGCGTATCGGACCGGTCTGTTGCGGATGTATCCCTGGAGGGGCGCTCATCGCCCTGATCCGCTTCAGAGCTACCTCCGGGAGGCGTTCGACGGTCCGGCCGGCAACGAGCGCTGCTTCAAGCTCGGCATTGACTCGTCCACGACGGGCTCCGTCCTTGGTATGGCTCCCCGCGGCGCAGAAAGTCTAGCGTGGCCTCGTGGAGGGCGGGTGGAGACGGGACGACGGCGAGGGAGGGCCGTATGGTCTGCCGGTTATTATTAGGCCATGTGGTGTAATGCATTGGCAGTGTGTTGCCTCGAATCGGTCGTTATCCAGGCGTTGCCGAGCCTAGGCAGAAATAACGGACACTTGTAGTAATTGATTGCATGGCTATTTACTCAAGCCCCATTATAACAAGACCTACATGTGCCGTGCGGTTTTGTGGTAACTTACGTTTCCTTTGTTCTACATCTCTCCAGAATGTGCAATATTTTTACATGATCACCCTCGTGTTATGACGGCACACATAAACCCAAGCCTTGGGTTACATCCATGCCTGATCAGCTGGACGGTGACCCGAGCGCCATACATCCGTGACCCGGCCGTGACCTGGCCGGCGCCCGTCCCTTGCTCTGCCCGTCCCCGGCGCGGCCCGTGCTGCGACGGCCGCCGAGCCTCCACCGTCCGGCGCGCCCCCAGGTGTGGTCGTCCTCGAGGGCCTGTACGTGCGCTTCAACCTGCACACGCGCACAGTGGACCTGGCCCGCTCCGTGTGCGGCCCGGTGACGCTCAGGGGACCGCACGCCACCGCAGGTACGGATCAGGCCGCC